ATATATATATATATATAAAATAAAAAAATAAAATAATCTCACATTTTTACTGACACATTGATTTGTTTTACACTTCTACAAATTGTGTGACTTAATAATAGGCTAACACAATACGACTTTTCACTGATGCTTTCACAGGAACAGATTTGAACAGATGCCTATAGGTATAAAAGTGAGATTAGGAATTTGTTTTTACTGTTTTGGTAATATTTTTAAGGTTTGGAATTCATTCCTTTAAAAAGATGGATCTGTCTGTGATTCAAAGACATGAAGGTCGCTTTGACCTTGAGAACGCCAGAGAGAACATGGATCTGTGATGCCATCTTGAGGTGATATAAAAGATAAACACCTCATTTCAGCCTAAATGACCTGAATAAAGGCCAAACTTGTCTTCATATAATAGCCACAACCCTTGCTATTATTTAAAGCCTTAGGCTTAGGCCTACATCTCATTCTACGGCTGTATGTATTCTGTGGGTTCATAGCGGTTCCGTTAAAAATACCAGAACTGAATTATTTCTATTGTACGTTCGGTTTCGTTAACGCTTGTAGCCTAGTTGAACAACTCGCTGGCAATGTTTCACACATTAGCAACATAGCTACTGAAAGTACAGCGATGTAGTGTAGTCCGATTCCCATGAGCCGGTTCCTTTTTGGGGAATGACTTATGAATCAGTCTGAGCTGTTAAGAAATTTTCCGCAGTTTATTACTTTCATTATGTTTTGCTCTAGATTAAAGTGACTTTTTTTCCATACGATTATGTGTAATTAAATATAGGCTACAGATTATTAGTTTTGTTGGAATATTTGATTTAGTCCTATATAAAGAAGACTTATTAATTAATAAATGAAATGTTTTAGTATTAGTCTTTTTATTTAGTGTTTAGCTATAGGGCCAAATTTTGTATTGCATGTATGCCGCATAAAAGCCATTACACAAAAAGTTTACATAAATTTGTATTTATTACTGTTCGGTTGATCTCACAATTTGCATTTGGCAGGATTGTATTTCTTAAAAAAAA